AGCAGGGCGCTTATATAGAGGGCGGTGAAACGCGCTGATGTCGTGCTGATCGATGGTGTGATGCGGAAAAGGACTGGCACGAGCGTGCTTTTCGGCAAAAGTTGACAAGGAGCGTGATTTTTCCTGCTGTTGTATTTTTGCTGTTTTTTCATTAACTACGAAATTCTTAAGGATGTTTTTGCACTGTAACGACGAAGTAGTAACTAGTGTATCGTACGAATGCTTGTTTGGCCTGTATAGTTGAATTTTGAAAGAAATATTGAGGATAATGAGTCGGGCTTTTGATGACTTCAATGAAGGGAAATTTCAAAACAGCATTTGGGCATGTTATCAAGTCGTCCAAACTTCGAAATTCAGTTGATGGTAAAGATTATAATTATGTGCTTATCTCCAAAAGTTTTCATAAGACTCGGAGTTGAGCAATTGAATACACAGCGTTGGAAAGTGAGGTATTTTTGTGTGTTAAATTTTGCCTAATTAGACCATTATTTCGCTGCAAAAAAATAAACAACAATTGTATTTTGGCCATGTCGTGATTTTTGGTTATTATGTTAATAATTTTGTACGACTTTTAAGGCATTCAATTGAAGTAATTCTGAGCCGTAAACATATTTTACTTCTTGTCCTTTGAATCAAAATACGACTCGCTCGGACGTTTGTTGAGCGCAATAGTCGAAAAAGTTTCGTCCCAACTTTGATTTTTTTTGACCGGCTGGCCAAGACAACTTCTCGTAAGGATTCGTTAAAAAAATACAAATTCAAGTTGAGCATTTCTTGATTTTCAACTGAAAAGATCAACTAGTGGCTAAAATTAATTGTGAATTGTATTCTATCGAACGTGAACGATACGTGTACATCCGAAGAGTTTTAAAAACCTTTCACGTCATGCTTCTGGCGAAAGCAACCGTTCGCAAGCGTTTTGAGCAAAAACTCTAAAATATTGGCAGTATTACCTGAAAATACAATAGCAGAATCTACTAAATTATCGTATAACATCGGAATTTTACCCCCAATATCTATTTCTTCATCAAAACTTGACTACAAAACAGTCAAAACTTCCAGCTCAGTTTTCCCGCCATATTTATCCTTGCCATATAAGACAACGTCGCCATAGTAACCACAACAAACTCGTTGCCAGTCCTTTGCATCACACATCGATCGGCGCGCCTATAGCCGTTTCACCGCCCTCTATATAAGCGCCCTGCTCGATAGCATAGTATCTATGCTCCGCGCAGATACAAAAACTCATTACAGTCGTGCCAATAGCAATCTCGTTCTCAGAGTATGCCTATTCGCGGGTTATGTAATCATGCCACTACATAACCCGCGAACAGGCATACTCTGGGAACGAGATTGTGCCAATAGAAGCGTTCCGAAAAATGTTGACCAATTCATTTCCTAACTTGAAGGAACACCTCTGTACAATTCCTCAATAACCTGCGTGGCAGGCCTTCAGTTTTATGGGGCCTGATTTGCAACGGGCAGGATTCTGGCGGGCACGGGGGAGGAATCCTCTGAGGGCCTGCCACGCAGGTTAATTCCTCAACAATTTTATAAGTTCCTTAAAAAGTTGCTAACTTCCTGTTTCATTGGCCAATCAGATTGCTCAAAAATAAATTATATGTGATAAAGATTCTACTTGATTTACATAAACTTTAACTTTATTGTGCACTAAGCTATTGAAAACAAATTTCATTATCATGAAACTATACACAGTACAAAAACAACCTTGAAATTTATAGCAATATTTTACTAAATCATTGCTTTGACGACTTTCGACGAGAAGGTTTAGTAAATACAGTATCTCACTTTAGTGTAATTTCAGTATTGAAAAGTGGCCTTTGAGCATTCTGATTGACTGCCGACCACATACTTTCAGCGATCAAAGCTTCGGCACATTTCGGTGTACTATTTGAAACATGAGAAACAGTGTTTTATCAGATATAAAGATACGAGGCGAAGGTCTAATTAAAAACGAACTGCGATTGTTTTAAATTGCTTCAAAAATGATCGAGTTATACTTAGGAATGCCATTGGCGAAGTAATTTTAATACGTTGTGTAAGTCGAGAAAATCATGTTGCTAGCTTGACTGATCTCAATACAATCCATGCATTGCATTCTGTAATCTGTATATATGGTGAAGCCGGGAGATATACATGTGCATGATATGTCTTGAAATATACTCCCTGCTTAATTAAAAATTCTGAAATATACTTTACGTGAATTTAATTCGGCGCGAACATGACCACGGTTGTTTTTTATGTTTTTTAAGCCAGATTACTAAAAATACATGCAGGTATAACTATGATACATTAATACTTACTCAGGCAGGGGCTCGTTATTGTTTTTACTAACAGTTCCAAATCCCAAAAAATGCACTTCGTCATCCGATTCTAACAGTCCCGGAGTTGCATGCTCTTTTCCGACCATTAAATAGGTACACCTGTCAGATAATTCTTCACTTGGTTTTTGCACCACCCCCAAATGATAGATTGTAAAGTTATCTGGGCTGAGGGAACCAGCCCAGTCATACACAGCTGCCATGCGAGAGGTTTTTGGAAACTTTCTAGATTGCAAACCCATTGTCATATGCCTGTAAGTTGAAGTTTGATTGGAATTCTGTGACTTGTTATGCAGGAACAAGGGGATCACAACCCGCCTCATGTTATTATGTATCACCCTGCCCACAAACCAATTAATGTTTGGCAGTTTCTTTAAAGACTGAATGTTGGGTACTTGTTTTTTTTTATTTTAAAAATTTTCCCCATGCACAATAAATTTATGTGTAGTATATTTACAATAATTGTAGAGTGCGGGCTAGAGACCTACTAGAAATCTTAGTAGACTTTTTATTTAGGTCTCTAGTTATGCTAGTTTGTATTGTGTTATGTAATAAATTATTTACAGTCAATCACAATATTGAAGGAATATATATATATTTACAAGAGAGAAAAAGAAGAGAGATTACGCAATCTCATGTGATCCCCTTGTTCCTGCATAACAAGTCACACAATTCCAATCAAACTTCAACTTACAGGTAAGTCTCGTTTAATTTTAGAATTTAAGCAGGGATACAGCGGATCAAAACAACGAAACGGGAACCGGAATAAACTTTAAATATGATATTTCATAGCCAATATATAAGCATGCTGCATGCAATTATAAAGCGTACGGGGCAGGGGGGACTGCAGCTCCCTAGAAAAATTGAAATTAGATTTAAAAGCAACAAATGTGTAAGATAATAGTCGAAAATACAAGAATATGTAAGGTTTCCAATTTCAACCCTTTCCAAAATTTTTCGGGTGTCGTAGCTATAGAATGTCATAATCAGTATAATAGTTTCGTGTCTTGAGATAAAATATTTTGTATCCTGAGAAATAAAGTCAACACATAAAGTTTTAGGTTATTATTATTTTAAGTGCGCCTTCATACTGACGTATATCTGTATATAGAAGTTAAAATTGCAGATATGTGTGTATAATCCCAATGTTCTCCATGACATAACAGTCACTCATAGAAGGGTTTGGGTACCGTTGTTTACCTCGTTGCTACCCAATTCACAACTTTAGATAACTCACATGCCAAGTTACTATTGTTCAAGTTTACAGAAGCACAGAATAACAAACAAGGTAACTATAAGCATTAAAATTATGTGAAAGATTAGCCTACGAGCAGGCTCTCTTATAAGATTTACTCACTCCAACTTTTAGACAATTCTATCAAAAGCTTGGTTACCGGTTCTAGGTTATGGTTCTGTATAAACTAGAACAATAGTAACCAGACATGTGGATTACCTCCATGAAGTTTACCTTTCACCCGCATTTGAGGAACGAAAAATATGGCCTGACACTCAGGCTGAAGGATTTTGGTAGATGGAAATTATCGAGTGTAAATTTTATATACAGTTTTAGACCTAACCAGGAACAGTTGCAAACTATCGCCCTCTGACAGGAATCAAACCTGCGGCCCTGCGATTCCGATACAGCGCTCTATATAAAGCAACTGAGCAAGATGCCCAAAAAATCTCGATATTTACCCATACCTTATACTGGCATCACACACTATATAGATACAAGAATTTGTGGTTAGAGCTTGACAACGGGACATGTATCTCAGTTGGTTAGAGCGCTACACTGGAATCGCAGGTCCAATCCTGCCAGAAGCCCTATAGTTGCATTTTTCGCAACTGCTCCTGGTCAAGTCTATCAGAGATGATTACTCAAATATCACTTCGGCTAATATTTCGCCGAATCCCCCCTCGCTCCAGGTCTATAAATGATAAGTATATCACTTATGCGAGATTCAGGGTCGCCATACCAACCTATATGAACGGGATTTGTGATTGGTTGATCACAACTATAAAAGACCTTTCTAAAGAACGAGTCATGAACACTGATCACTATAGAGCGTTTGCACTCATTCCCCAGGAACCAACTCAACAAAAGCCATGGCAGCCATGTTGGTGTTCCATACAAAAGAGTCTAATTAAAATTATTTTGAATTGGAACACCAACATGGCGGCTGTGACGTCATGTGCAAACGCTCTATTGTTTTATGAAGCCAATCACAAAACATGATCATTTTGGGTTGGTATTTACTCCCGTTTCACGCCAGTTTAGCCTTATTTTCGCGTCACAACTTGCCACCGCCCATTTGCTGGTTAAGGCGACAAAGAAACATGGTGCGACTGGAAATCCCTTATTCAATGTCGTACTATTATTCAAACTAATTCTGTCAATTCTTTAATATGCCATATCGATAATTACGTCGACCCGGGAGCCTCATTCTCATGAATCGTGAGCAAATCGCCTTATACGTCTTAATCAATGAGAACGAGGCTCACAGGCCAAGACAGTATTCACATAACGTAATTATCGAAAAGGTAATGAGGGATATTTTCAGTCGTTAGTTATAGTTAAGTTATTCAAAACCATCTTCCAAAATCATAATTTACAAACATTTCCCTTTTCAAGCACAACATATACAGGACAAATCAAAGATATATACAGTATTAAACACCACTCTGCATATCACTCCCAGTCTCTGGACAATTTTGATCCGTAGGTACTATAAGACTTTCCTGAGCCATCAATTCGTACTTTAACACATACGCAGTAAACCGACGACATAGATTTGTCTCTGCCTGAAAAGACAACAATGGAATGTACATCAGAAATGCGAACAACAGAATAATAGCAAAATGATGGAAAGAAATAGATTATGAAGGTAAGGACCTCCATGGAGTAAGGAGTTGTGAGGGTGGTGCATGG